AATATTATTAAAAAATATTTTAAAAATTGTATATCACTGTCTTATATTAATTTTTTTAATTTTTCTAATTTTTTTCATTCTTTATTATATAGTTATCAAAATTGTTTTAATCATAATTATTTTAAATGAAATTAGGAGAGACTCAATCTCGGCTCTCGCTAATTTACACCCGTACTCGTGACCCATCAATTAAGCACCCACCAGGCAGAAATGGACACGACCAACACGATGACACATATATAGGACAAGAAGACCCTGAAGCATGTGGTGCCACATCAGCATAATTATGTCACATCAAACAAATGATCAACACATATCATCATCATCAACATAAAAAAAGGGTTGGTCCACCAACATAATGCATTTCTATGATTCATGCAGTTGATAAGATCAACAAATGAAATTAGGAGAGACTCAAACTCGGCTCTCACTAATTTACACCCGTACTCGTGACCCATCAAAATTAAGCACCCACCAGGTAGATATGGACACGACCAACACGATGACACATATATAGGACAAGAAGGCTCTGAGGCATGTGGTGCCACATCAGCATAATTATGTCACATCAAACAAATGATCAACACATATCATCATCAACATAAAAAAAGGGCTGGTCCACCAACATAATGCATTTCTATGATTCATGCAGTTGATAAGATCAAACAAAAGATGATGGGCCCGGTTCATGTGGAACGATATGTGGGCCCGGTTCATGTGATGCGAGGTACTGTGAAGTGAAGGAAAGAAAGATTTGTCATCTGGTTTTATGCTAGATATAGAGCAGCGGTGGCTTCAGACGAAGGCGCGGCGATTCGCGCTCGCTTTGTAGGTATATATGACAGATTGACAGGTTATAAATGGGCGTCAAAGGGCGGAAAAAGCCCACCTAAAGCATCCTACAACTAACTAGGAGTGGACAAATTATTACATCCGGTGATCAGACGCGGAGGATAGGTTCGGATATCCAATAAAATTTTGTCACGTCATATGTGCTTTAGGTGCACTTTAGATGCTCTTTAGGTGCGATTTACCTGCGCTTTTAACTGCACTTTTGACTGCGCTTTACCTGCGCTTTTGATGTGCTTAATTTAAAATAATATTTTATTAATATCCGGACCTATCTCCGCGTCCGGCAAACGGATGTAATAATTTACCCTACAAGTGACGCCTCTGATGACCATCCCAAAATTCCAAGAGTATAATAATACATAATTTTAATTGCATATTAATTATTTTTTGCTGTCCTTTTACTGAGTATTTGAAAAACACAGCAAATACTCAATGAATAAGATATTTGTTGCAATTTTACTTTATTTTTGCAAATACTCAATAAAAGAGTAGCTAATATGCAATTAAAATTATATATTAGCTATACTTTTGCAAAAATACATCAAAAGTGAATAAAAAGCTCAACAATCTGGAATAGAGATTTTAGATTTTATTTGAGAATGTTTTCAAATTTATATATTAAGAAGTTATTTTAACAAACATTAAGAAAATCATAAGTTTTTTTTTAATAATTTTTTAACTGTTTTTTAAAATAAATTTTTAATACAAATAAAAAACTTATGCTTAAAAAATTGCTTTGAAAATCAGTATGAAAACTATCATAAGCTAAGCCTTACACACATGAGATCAAAATTTCTTTATTTAAAAATATTAATATCCAAGTCCTTAAAATAAATGATTAATTATTAATCATATGCATTTGTATTTAATTTGGTTAAATTGTTGAGAAATTAATGAAGATAGAAAATATCATTAGGGATTTCTATGCTTTTAAAATTTCAAATAAAATTATCATAAATGAAGAGAATTTGATGAATAAATAAGATTTAAATGCCAATTATAAATATTGATCCAAGAAATTATATTAGTAATGACACCAAAATACTTATGCCTCCATTGCTCAAGATTACATATAAGATATTATTAAATAGTAAATTTGTGCATTTTTTTAAAGTACAACCAAATCTAATATTTCAAAGAAAAAAAAATCTATAGTGTTCTTGGTGATTTAACTATATAAAATATGATTGCATTCGCATCATAAATTAGGGGTGTCAATTTCGGGTCATGGGTCGGGTTCGGGTCGAACCCGAAACTGACCCGGTTTCAAACGGGTCGACCCTAACCCGACCCAGTTAGGTAAACGGGTTGGAAATGCGAACACAGACCCGACCCTGCGGGTTGCCAGGTTGACCCGACCCGACCAGTGAAAGCTAGTCCCTCGGGGCCAGTGCGGGCGGGGTCGCGCGGGGCGGGTGTGGTCGCGCAAGGCATGGTCGCGCAGGGCATGGTCGCGCGGCAGCGGGCAAGGGTTCAAACGGGTTTCCGAGTTGACTCGTCAACCCGTTGGGTCAACCCGAACCCGATCCGTTTTTCAAACGGGTCGAATCCGGGAACCCGAACCCAAAACGGGTCGGGTCTAACCCGAAAATTCCGGGTTGGATTCGGGTCGGATTTTCGTGTCGTGTCAAATATTGACACCCCTATCATAAATATAACTCAGATTAAAGCAAAAGTATCTAAAATATCTAAGTATGAACCTGCATGAACATATCAACCAAGTCAAAATATGATTGCAATAATAGAATTTGATAACCAACTAACAAATGAGAAGGCTTAACACGTGATTCTAACATCCTCACAAATATACTAGAGCACCTAAATGGTTTGTGTTTAGAATATATGCATATTAATTTCTCCTAAAGTTTCATAACTAGCTTCGAAACTCTAAATAATAAAATTAAAGTAAATGCACCAAATATATATTATTTGATCTATGGTAGGCATTTAGATATCTAGCCTTGATACGTCATCAAAAAATTATCATGATCGGGCAAGAATCTCAAGGCCAAATCAAGTTGGAAACTTCCGAAATTAAAATTATGCACAAACCTTTAAAAAAAGGGCCTACCAAAGTGTTGCGTAAAAGTAGGAAGACATTTGAAATTGAGGTAAAAACTAAGGAACATAAAAAATAAGATTCAACATAAAAGAACTATATATTAAGCGTGAGACCCAAGAACGCTTTATGATGCATAATATCAGCCATTAAGAGAGAAGCATAATATTAAGTGTTGAAGAGATGAGGATACTTAGGTGCAAGCGTGGCTTTGCGAAATTAGCATATACGTGAAAAGGATCTAGTAGCTCCCGTGGAAGATAAGAATAGAGAGAGCCGTCTTCGATGGTTTGGTCACATAAAACGACAGCTTTCTGATGTCCCAATTAAGAAAGTATATGTATTATATTTGACTTATGTTAAGAATGGTAGGTATAGACCGAAAAATACATGGTTAGAACATATGGTTAGACCCTTCTTTATTAAATTTAGATGATAATTTGACTCTTAACATGACACAATGGAGAAAAAAGATTCATGTAGCCGACCTCACAAATCGCACACCTTCAGAAAAAAAAATTGCAGTGAATGGCATGCTAATCGATATTGGGCAAAGTCAGAAAATTGTCAAACAGGTTTTGTAGATATCTGCCATCGATCTTAATCTTTGTAACTGCATTGTTATAATTAATGACAGTGTAACTCAATTTGCTAATGCAATAAACAACAAAAATATTCAATAAACTCATAACAAACCTATTAAATATTCTAAGGAAGAGATTGAAAAGATATAATGACAATTTATCCAAGAATCCAAAAATAATTCATTTTCAACCATCAAACCCAAGCAACCAAAAGCTGGATGAATGCAGTAGTTAAAACAATCTAATAAAACACTTTTAAAAGATATCAACCAATGATCTACATGTTTTTTAGAAAGTATGGCATCAAAAATACACAAATAGGGCATAATAAAGCTAAAAAATTGTGTATGCTACAGTTTTCAGATCATGTGATGGTGAGAAACAATTAACTGCAAGCCTCAGCTTTTGTCAGTGACATGTGAAATTTAAAATTACTGAGCCAGGGTCTGCTTATTTCCTCCTTACATACTGCTTGTCAAGGATGCGACCAGATAGACAACCAGAGACCACGGGAATAGGGACTAGTCAATTATGACAGCAGGTAAATTAATTAAACAAAGGATTCTCTCAGTGGGGCTCCAAAGTGTCGGCTGTGGGTACAGTGGCATGGGTGGTCTTGTAGATCGGCCGGGTTTACGGACCGCCAAGCTTGCTCGGCGAAGCCAGGCGTGCCAGAGGACGGTTCCTCATCACAAAAAAAAAAATCTTTTATGTACCATAGCCCCATTTCTGTATTTGTATTTGACATTTCCCGCAGGGCATAATAAAGCAACCTACCAATAAAATCAATGGACAATAGGATGTATGGGCAAATCAAAATAGCCAAATGGATGAGACAGTAAAGTATTTATCTCAGGAACTGCCAGATACTAGTAAACAGAATCGCTGAATTGTCCACGGCTCCTTGCCATGCCTGTGACAACAGAGAAGACCATTTTATTAAAAGGAGAGAGTGCTACAGATATGGTGAAGGTTTTGTCATTGCTCATCAAGCTCCCAGATGGTATTTGCTAAGAAACGCTCAAGACTACTAGTGTATCAAACAGATTACTTAAGGGGTGAGCGTATTGAGCAGGAAGATAACATCATTAGCAGATTAAAAAGGTTCCTTGAAAGCTAATTATCATGAGACACAATAAGTTTAAAGCTCAAGCGTCATCCATTCACTGAAATCGTATGTGATTCAATATCAAGTTATCATCAATATAACAAATGCATCTTAACTGTTGGTCAGCTTATTGGGTCTTCAGCCAATTGTTACTTCATTTGGGATGATTTTTTTATGATTTCTTAAAGCAGCTTTCTAGTATAAATATTAAAATTTTATATTAAAAAATTGTTTTAAGAAACAGTGCCATCCCAAACGAATTCACAATTAAGCACCAAGAGAAGCAATCAATTAGTGTACCAGGCCTCATCCAATTCTTGCACTCATCTCAACTTATCAACGTCTAATGAAGCATATACTATAAATTTCCGTGCTTTTTTCCCCAAAAAAATGGAATGACTGCCTTTCTGTATTTTGATATAACAAATGGACTTGCACAACACTATTTATGGAAAAAAAGTAGTAAATGTGGTACTTAAGAAATAAGTAAAGGAGCAAACCGGAAAAGAACTTCACCAAAAAAACGCTTACTACCAAAATGCAAAAGCTGCAGCAGAAAAGCAGTATAGTCATGTCACTGTACCAGCAGTATCTATGATCCTCGAACTTCGAGATATTGTAAGATCCAGTGAGAGATATTAGAGTGAAATTCAACATAAAAATCAAAGTATTCATTATTATCATCATCATCAGCCTTATTCCAACAATTTGAAAGGGCGGCATGTGCTGTTGTAATCTTGCATCTAGTTTATTTGAAGTACTACGGATGTTGCATCCGCTATCCCCTTCTGCTCGTTTCACGTTACTTGTGATCATATTTGCGAGATTATCATATGCGATCTAATTTGTGTCAAGCTTTATAGTCTAATTTATATCTTATTCAGTCACACAGGTTGATCAGAGATTAAAAGGACGGAGCTCTTAAAAATATTCAATATTTATAATCATGTTAAAGGAATCCTTAATACATTGTATTAATGTTAGCACGATTCCATGAAAGCAACGCTTTGTATGATATAAATACAACGACAAGTGTGCAATAGCCGTTGCACCGACGCCTGTGTAATGGTATATAGACAATGGTTCTCATATCAGGGATGGATAAGAAATTTAAATATAAGTTGTCTTTTAGAAAAATTAATAGAATTAAAAGATATTATAATTCATAAGAAGATAAATATTCTATGCTTTAAAAAAACTAAATAGGTTGGAAAGAAGACTAAGGAAATTGATAGTTTAAGTTTAAAACTATAGTATTCTGACAAGAGTTGCTCTACAAATGGTGCATGTGTGATTATGGATAAGAGTTTAAAACATAAATATTATAAAAATTAATAGAATTTAAGAAAGAATTATAACTTAAAAAATTATTGTTGATGTTAAGATTATTAATATCATAAAATTCTTATGTTCTTAAAGTAGATATGGATATGAGTTCAAAAATAAAATTTTAAAATAACTTAGAATAATTAATATAAAAGATACATCTTATAGAAAAAAATTTTAAATTATTACAGGAGATTTAAATGGTCATGTTGGTGAACTTTTATTTGGTCCGGTGAACGTACGCTCCTCTACGTTCGGCCACCAATATTTTAGTGACACGTAGCATGAAGAAAAGTCGCCGACCCGACCCGCTGTTTTTTGGGTTCTAGCGCGTGCGTTTTTTTAAATCCTTGACGAACTGAACAACATCCCATCACCTTTTCGATATATTTCAAATACCTAGCAAATACCGAGTTGTACCTAGTTTTTTCTAGCAATACCGAGCAAATACCTAGCAATACCGAGCAAATCCCTAGCAATACCGAGCAAATCCTGAGCAAATACTGAGTTGTACCGAGTTGTACCTAGTTTTTTCTAACAATACCGAGCAAATACCAAGCAAATCCTTAGCAATACCGAGCAAATCCTTAGCAAATACTGAGTTGTACCGAGTTGTACCTAGTTTTTTCTAGCAATACCTAGCAATACCGAGCAAATCCCTAGCAATACCGAGCAAATCCTGAGCAAATACCGAGTTGTACCGAGTTGTAGAAAAACTCGGTACAACTCGGTATTTGTATAGTTTTGGTCTTCACAGAGCGGTATTTCTCGTTTTTTGCAAAGCAATACCGAGCAAATACCGAGCAATACCGAGAAAATCGCGAACATAGCATTCCCGGGTTCCGCTCCGGGTCAAGTCGTCGGGCCGCGCGGTAAAGAGTAAGAGCACGTGGCGACATGTTATTGGCGGCCGAACGTACCTCTACGTCAGGTCAGAGGACGTAATAATTGCTCCATGTTGGTAGAGAAGTGGATGATTTTAAAAGCATTCGTGGTGGCTATAAGTTTGGAGAGACTAAGAAAGTGTAGTAAGATCATATTAGATTTTTTTTTTTTACTTTTGATTTTATAATTGCTAATACCTTATTTAATAAAAGAGAAGAGCATCTCATCACTTATAAGAATAGATATAGTAAAACTCATATTAACTATTTTCTCATAAGAAAAATAAATCGTTTAGATTGTAAATTTATTCCGAATGAAATTTTATGTATCCAACATCGCATAATTAATTTTGGACTTTAAGATGAAGAGGCAGAAAATAAAAAATAAAATAAAACATTGTTCTGAAAATATATGGAGACATGAATATTAACAAAAATATTTTTTTGATGATACTAAAATTTAAGATTTTGTCTGTGCATAAAGAAGCTAATGTTATGTGTGAAAAAAATAACTAGTAATATTTAAGAATGTTGCAAAAAATATGTTTGGAGTATCAAAGAGAAAAACTCATAATATTAAAAATAGTTGGGTGGAATCAAAATGTGCAAAGAAAGATAAAAAATAAGAAGATTTATCATAGAAATTAGTTTAGATGTAAAAATTCTGATAATTGAAAAAAAAATATAAAAAAGATCTGCTAGAAGTCTAAAAAAGCAATATGTGATGCAAAGATTTTAACTTTTAATAATTTATATAACATATTAGATACTAAGAATGATGAAAGATGTATATATAACTAAGCCAAAAAAAGAGATAAGAGTAGTAAAGATTTTGTTCAAGTAAAATATATTAATAATGAATATTAAAAAATATTTTTATTAGAAAAGGATATTCAACAAAAGTGGATGAGATATTTTTTAAAACTTTTCAATAAAGATTATGAGAATGTGATTAACTTTAATAACCTTAACACTCTAAATGAAAATAAAGATTTTTATTTTATCGGTGTACTAGTAAAACTGAATTTAAAGAGGCTTTAAAGAAAATGAAGTGTGAAAAAGCTGTTAGATCTGATGATATTTCAAAAAAGGTGTGAAAATGTTTAAAAGATGGAGGAATTTCTTGGCTTACTAAACTTTTTAATATTATTTTAAAGACAAAAGATGCAAAATGAGTTGAGAATGAGTGTGATGATTCTTATTTTTAGGAACAAAGGTGTTGCACAAGATTGTTCGAATTATAGAGGAATTAAGTTAATGTATCATACTTTAAAATTATGGGAGAGTTATTGAGCAAAAGTTGAGGCGTGATACTAATGTTTCTCAAAATCAATTTGGATTCATGCCAGGTAGGTTTATTATGGAAGGTAAACATTTATTGTGAGGTTTAATGGAGAAGTATAGAGGAATAAGAAGGATCTACAAAAGTTATTTATTGATCTAGAAAACATATGATAAAGTTTCAAGAGAAGTATTATGGAGAGTTCTAAAAAAAGAAATGGTTAATAATGCTTATATTCAACTAATTCAAGTCATTAAGGATATGTATGCATGAGATGTTACTTGTGTTCAAACACAAGATGGTTTGACCAAATATTTTCCTATTTCAGTTGGATTTCATCAAGGATCATCAACCTTAAGCTCATATATTTTTGTTTTAGTCATGGATGTTCTCACTAGACATTTGCAAGAGGTTATACCTTGGTATATGTTATTTGCTGATAAAATTCTTCTTGTTGATAAGGCTAGAGAGGGAGTTGAAGGTAAACTTGAATTATGGATGTCAACCTTAGAGTCTAAAGGCTTTTGTTTGAATAGATCTAAAACTGAATATATGGAGTATAATTTTAATAATAATAGATCTAAAGAGGACATTGTGACTTTGGGTGATCAAGTCATTAATAAGAGTAGACATTTTCGATATATTGGTCTATTGTTCTGTTCAGAGTGATGGTGAAATAGATGGAGATATTATTAGTAGAATTCAAGTTGGATGGTTGAAGTGGATGAATGCATCGGGCTTGTTGTGTGAAGAAAAGTCCCCCTCAAACTTAAGGCCTTGTTGTTGATGATGTTCTTGTTCTATAATATGGTAGTTAGACCTTCAATGCTTTATGGTTCAAATGCTAGCCATTAAATAGAGATGAGGATGCTCAGGCAGATGACTGGCTTTGGATTTACTCTTAGAGATGATATGAAATGACTATATACGTGAAATGGTTGGAGTAGCTCCAGTGGAAGATGAGATTAAAGAGTCGCCTTAGATGGTTTGGTCACATAAAACAACGGCCTTTCGATGACCTGGTTAGGAAAGTAGATGTATTAGATTTGACTTATGTTAAGAAAAGTAGAGATAGACCTAAAAAGATTTGGTTAGAAAATATAAATGAGAATTTCACTTTTAACAGGACAATAAAAAAAATGATTCATATAACCAACCCTATAATGAGATAAAGGTTTGATGTTGTTGTTGTTGTTATCAATGTTTAAAATTGCGTAATTGGGTATTGAGGTGCTTTTCATTCCTGAGGCGAGGCTTACCGTTTTGAGGCATAAGCCTCAAAATCAAAAAATTGCGTAAACATAAAATGATAA